TTCTTTTTACGGTACCTGCTAGGAGTTACACACACAACACGTACTTCCTGTGCTACAATTCAGTCGTTGATTATGATTGAAAATGAATAATGTATGTAAATAGAACACTTGATATGCATATGCAAAGACAATACACTATTCGAATTAACGCAAAATCACGCGACTTTTGAGCACAATTTAGTGTAGATCAGTCATTTTTACTTCTTTTTAACATTGTTACATTTCATTCGAACGACATAGATGGATCTGAGTGTTCAGACGCCAAACAGAAGCTACCAGCGTAGATTATTTATAAAGAAGTCTGTGAGGAGGACAAGACTTGTTCATTTTTTGCGCAGAAAATTCCTTTTATAAAATTTCCAACTTGAAGCTAAGTGACAATCCGTTAAAGACACTTAAAAAGAAAGAAAAAACTGATGGATGAGGCAAGAGAGAAGTTACGCTTGAATTGTAGGTGGAGCCTTCATCCGTGGCGGCGTCTGGAATGTTCTGAAAGTTAAAGGATAATTCACGCGAATCTTGTAAATTTTTGCCACCAGTCACGCGATTTTGTCGAAAGAGTAAGAAACACGGAATTTCTTAGCTTTTATTTGTTAGTTGATCTTCGTTTGTTCAGTTTGCTAGGTTCACTCCACTACCAACAACACTGCAGACGCTAACCGACTAGTGGACAGAAGCAACATGACATATTTTTCGACAATAACCAGAAATAGCATTCATGCTTTCACGTTCGCGCCTCCTGAAGTCTATTGTTTTCAATTGTATTTATGGGCGAAATATTTCACCCTACAAAGTCCGCTCCTTAAGTCATGGACATGACTTAACCCAGAACTAAGAAAATCGAGGAGAATACTCATAAGTAATAGCACCAATTGGTTTATGAAGAACGATTTCCGATCCCGACCTCCTCGTAGCCTGATTCTCAGACGTCCGAGGTTGTTCGCAGTCTCTTCTCTTCTCGGACGTCTGAGAATCAGGCTAGACCTCCTCGCCGTGACTTTGCAGAAAGAGTTAAAATGCCAGTCAAGGGGGATATTGTAACCCGTCCATACGGTCGAATCCGAGTTTAAAATCGCCTCTTCGAGGCATGAACAGACGATATGACAATTCCAGCACTTTTAGACCAAGCTTGAAAAGGACTATACCTTTCCTTTACACTTCAACAGCCACACACACCGCATATTAATAAATTTATAAGTGAATAATACCTTAAAATCCCAAATATAAATATGATGTTTTTAAACACGATATCTAAAAACAAACCTTTGTTTGAGAACCAAAAGTGAGATGTTTTTGTGTGAAGATCAGTGCAGTGGATGGTATGGATTCTTCTGGCAAGTATGCTGCAGTAATTAAATTAATGTCGGTACGTCCAAAGGGAATGAGTCAGCAGCATTGTACTGTTGGCATGGTTGGTCATGTGATAAACAACAGACCATTGTTTTAAAAAAGTAATTAAGCGATAAGTCGTCTATTTCAAGTTTGCCTAGAAAGAGGGTCTCAATGGGGTTAACCGATAGNGAGAATCAGGCTAGACCTCCTCGCCGTGACTTTGCAGAAAGAGTTAAAATGCCAGTCAAGGGGGATATTGTAACCCGTCCATACGGTCGAATCCGAGTTTAAAATCGCCTCTTCGAGGCATGAACAGACGATATGACAATTCCAGCACTTTTAGACCAAGCTTGAAAAGGACTATACCTTTCCTTTACACTTCAACAGCCACACACACCGCATATTAATAAATTTATAAGTGAATAATACCTTAAAATCCCAAATATAAATATGATGTTTTTAAACACGATATCTAAAAACAAACCTTTGTTTGAGAACCAAAAGTGAGATGTTTTTGTGTGAAGATCAGTGCAGTGGATGGTATGGATTCTTCTGGCAAGTATGCTGCAGTAATTAAATTAATGTCGGTACGTCCAAAGGGAATGAGTCAGCAGCATTGTACTGTTGGCATGGTTGGTCATGTGATAAACAACAGACCATTGTTTTAAAAAAGTAATTAAGCGATAAGTCGTCTATTTCAAGTTTGCCTAGAAAGAGGGTCTCAATGGGGTTAACCGATAGGCGTAAAACGGCCAAAAATTTAGTCGATAGCCGTAAAAATTGAAAAATTTTAACCGTTAACCGTAAATTGGGTTAAAAAGAGTTAACCGTAAAAGAAATTGTCGCCTAGATTTGTTAATTTTATGGAAGGTGTTTAACTCGCTTATGGTTGCGTTTTTTATTTTCCGGCTACTTTGACTCCGTACGCACGTTAGGCGAAAAGCCTTTTAGGTGTATCTCGGGGAACTACTTTTTCCTATAGCGAAAGAGGGCTTCTCACTGGGAATTAATATTTGCGATTTTCAGAAGGTATGCCTTCGAAACACGAAACAACACGCAGAGCTGTTTGTAAAACACGTTGCCGATAAACAATATTTTCCTGTTTTTCTCTGACGCTACGGTAGACATTGCCATGCCTAGTCCCAGCATGTACGGCGTCTTCCCACGCAATCTCGGTCAAGGCATTTCGGTGGCGAACTCGCTCTGACCACGTGACCCGAAACGCATTAGCCGCGCGGAATAATGAGGTCTACGGACAAGGCAACAACAGGCAGTCGTTTTGTACAGTCCTTCGCTATGATTAAAAACACTGGACACGGGAGTTTTGTTATTGGCCGTTTTCACAGGACGGCTAGAAAGGGATTATCCAGACTCGCCTGTGTACAGTCGCCCCTTCCTCCACAGCGTTAGACACCCCTTCTCCGATTTTTTCTGCGGGGAGGTTGCGGCTGTACACAGGCTCAGTCTGTAACGGATAATCCATCTTCCGTACTTCAAAATTGACGGATAAAGTCAGGGGGGTTGTTCATTTCAAATTGAGACGTGTTACCTATCTGACGCGAATCATCAAACGGATAACCCGTCTCAAACGAATAAGCGGTCTCTAGTGTGGAATGTCGCGCCCCGGCCTTGAGTTGGGCGTTCGCGTGTCTGCTCACTATTGGCATTTCTATGTGTAAAATGATATTAGAAGTGGAATACTTTATAAAAGTATATTGATCTATCAAATGTGAAAATTTTTCAATTGAATAGCTTATTCTATCCCGAGATGATCCGAAGGCCTTTATTTTGCTTTAAAGATACAAAAATACAGGTTAATTAATATTTAACTTTTTGAAACAAAAGAAATTAATTTTTAACTTTTTTGTTAACCGTAACTGCAAAAAATTAACCGATAGCCGTAAAAGAGCCAAAATTTTAGCCGATAACCGTAAAAGACACCACCCCATTGAGATCCTCTAGAAAAGCCGCACTACGTTTTAATTAAGGATGAAAGATCAAGATGACAGTCCTTAAATTTTGAATACGATTTTACATGCTGGAAAATCCACCTAACAAAAGGATAATTTGGTTTTGTCCCATACCGTCCAAACCTTCTTTAGGGTACACCCTAAATTCTATCGAAGGACGTTTCTCTTTGGTTCCGAGGATCTAAAACTTCATACAATTCCTACAGTGTATACTATATATAAATGCATGGCGACACCTTTTTATTCCAATGGTTTGGTGCCTAGTCTCCCGCTTAATTTGCTGACTCCGTTCCAAGCCGCTGCGAGGGGACTAATTGGTCAGTCCGTATTTCAAATAAGTCGTATGGTGGCAATTCTTCGGCTAGCATTAAAATTAACAAGGGCTTCAAGATGTACTATCAAATTTTGTTTGATAGTACATCTTGGAGTAACCTGAGATCAGGCGTTTTTTTTTTTTTTGGCTTCTCTGCTTGAAAACAGATTACAGAGATAGAGGGAGAGAGCATGATCGCGGGCTAATCTTGGAGCCCTGGTTAGTTTTAGTGCCAGCCAGGAGCCCTGTGCCAGCCTAAGATTTGCCACCATACGACTTTTTTGAGGGACGAATTGGAAATGAGCCGCGAGAAGTTTTTCCTGCTGACCTAATTACCTAATTACCCATCCAAAAACGGACTCATTTTAGAAAGTCTCTGCCAGCCTCAGAGAATGCAGTTTTGCATTCGAATTTACATTTCATTCATTTCTGTATTAAAGTCTGGAAATCAGATTATCATTTCTAAATGTCTCTTTTTAGAGTTGAAATTCATATTGAGTAAAGCGCGCGGGAGGAAAAATAATTCTTTGGACTAAAATATACTAATGTCGGTGAGGGAAGAAAGAAGAGGGCAAAAACTGGATAAAAAAAGAAAAAAAATTGGAAGAACCATAACCACTACTGAAAGCTGTGTTTATGGTTGTTGGGCTTCCTCATAACGTACCTTCAATAGTATACAATGCAATGCCAACATATGTAACTCACGCTTAAATAACAGTCTTGATAACGTGCTTTATTGCGGCGTCGGCTGTTGGTTATAGGGTCACATAGCGAGTCAAATACGAAAATCCGAAGTAACATTTAATGCTCCAAATCGAACGATGTAATAAGGTATGAGAATATAAACGGTAGCAGGAAACATCTAGCAACCAAGGTACTTTGAGGCCCGATTCAGACGCCGTTCTTCACAGAACCAGGGTCAATTTGAAACGGCAGTGCATCAGCAGACACCGAACTTCAAATTTTAGCCAAACTAACTGCATAGTTTTGAAAAAAATTGATATATTCTTACTGCATTTTGAAGCTTTAGTTCGGCTGGTTTAAAGATTGGCAGTCCTAAATTAATTTGGGTGGGCCAAAATTTAAATGTTATCCTGCTCATGTGAAGTACGGCGTCTAAACCAAGCATAAGACGGCAACAATTGCTTATGATTGTACTTAACAGTAAGTAAACATAAAAGTGTTCAGAACGGCTTAAACTGTTGTAAACAAAGCAGCATTTTAGTGAACTGGCTACGCGTTTTTTGCACATTACACCACTGTGTCTATTCAGAGTGAAAGCAATCTCGTACCCAGAGTCTTCTGTCTTTTTCGTCAGCGGGCAACGCGTTGCCCGTTGACTAAAAAGGAAGAAGACTCTGGGTACGCCTCGATTGAAGTGAAACTCAAGCCTCGTTGACCAGCGGTTTCATGGGAACGGTGCTCCTGGTGCTTGTCGCCGTGACAGCTGTAGGGACAGCTGCGGGAGTGACGATAACAGCCCCTTGGTTTGTTGGACGGGACCTGCAGCAGCCGCAACAACAGCAACAGGCAATGATTAGTAGAATGATGAACAATAGAGGTCCACCAATTACTGCTGCCTTTTGAATATCGGAAAAGTTGTACCACCACCCGAAGATCCCTACAACCAAAACACACTTTTTATTAAAAATAGATTCAACGATACTTAACTCACTGAACTCTAAAAATTGAGTTTTCTGTGGTTTTGCGGAACACCATATTGTTAATTGCCTTTGAATTGTGATGTGAGTATTTTTCAGTGACTTTTCAATCTTTTAAGCTACGTCATTTGATGATTGAACCCGTCCACAGCACCAAGAAACTTTCCTAAAATTGTACCCGCTCCGCTCGAGAACACTAATTCTCGAAAAACATTTGCGGCTCTCATTTCCCCTCTCTTCTACAAACATGACACCAAAAACACAAAAAATAAAGCACCAAGTGAAACTTTGTCAGATTTCCATCGTAGAATGAAGTGTACTTCTGCTTTAAAAATGTTTATAAAAGTAAGAGTTTTTATGAAAGCACGGTCAGTACTCACCGCACTCATCAGTGGAAATTGGCAAATCTCCCTGTATGACAGTGACTTTTACTGGATAAACACCCTTTCCTAACACTTTACCACCGGCCAAAAGGTTCACCTGTTGAATCAAAGAATAGTTTCGAAGTTTCATTTCATCAAAGTCAAAATTAAATAGCATTGCACTTTGCCTCGCTTTGAAAGAGAGGGTTTTTGGAACTTGGAAATGGCCTACTCTTGTACGTCACCGTAACGTCATCTCTAGCCCCTTAATAGTAAACGTATTGACGTCACGATGAATTGGCCAATGAGATAACTGTAAAATACCTTAAGATGCAATCGGTCTCCGTTATCAGTGAGTCCAACTTGAACGTACACTCCAGCCGAGAAAATAGAAGGCAAAGATACAGTAAATCCGGGCACTTCAATGATGTCGTCACTTGTATACGTGTGAGACCACGTGACACCTAGATCCGGGACATCCATGGAGGCCGTTACTGTGACAGGTTCATCGCATTTGTTGACCTGTTGAGAAATAAAGGCCAATATTTAGTTATGATAATTATTATAAGCATAACGTGATTTCGTGAAAAGAGCTAGTTGCACTCATTCGTGTTGGCTTACCGGCATTAATACGGTTACAAACGCAGAAAATTAAGCATTTCCCTGAATCTTTGGGATGAAAGAAGGCGAACGATTTGGACGTTGAAGTGACAGAGAGTTAAGGCGAGTCAAAAAAAGATTCCAAAGGAGTGGTTGATGGGTCCCTCGTCCTTGCCCGCCCCTCCTCCCATAGTTTTCCAGTTGCCCTCTAGGTCAGTCTCGCTTTCGTTAAAAAAAACGTATGCTCTGCAGGCTATACCTTTAACTTGAATGTGATTGGCTCGTCAACGAAATTCATATTGCACGTGATCGTGCTGCAGTCGTCACTGATAGAACAGCCTTCACTCAGCTGGGTCTGGGACAAACCGGAACATGAACCTCCAGAGTACTCCGCAATATAGTTATTATTGCCGTCAGACCAACTATCATCTTCGTAACTGCCAGCTGAAAGGAAAGGACTTCATATCAGGAGCCTTGTGTAAGATTAAGAAGGTGTACACACGCGGAGAGAACAGTTGTATGCCGAAGGCCTCCCAACCTAGGGTGGGTCTTGGGGGATGCTCCCCCAGAAAATCAGTCTTAAATCTAGGGGTCTCAGAAATGCAATTTCCAGCTTTTCTGCAGGATATTTTCAATAAATTAATATGCAGAAAAAATACTGGAACGGTTGTTTTTCTCATCGACGTCTGTCCGAGGCGAATTATGGAATAATAAAACTAAGGAAATACTATGTGCGTATTATATATGGACGCTACGATCCTGTATTAATTACATTTCATTTAGAAAGGTTAGAATCACGTTTCCGGGCAAATAACAAGCATCAGATTCAAGTTGGTGTTTTCTTAAACAAAATGATCAGCCGTAAAAAGCTGTGTAAATATATAATTATAGTGGATGAACCCGACACAAAACTTTTTTTTGTGTTTGTAGATATCGTAAACAGTAAACGACAAGTAAAAGGAAAACTTGGTCACAAGGTTTAAATTGACGTTTGCCTTTAATAAACGTGTCTCTAAATCGTTCTTTGTTTATTATGCTTTTTAAGTTACAGTCTCAGTTAAAATTGTTGGGACACTTTGCTGTCCAGTGGCGGATACAGGGAAGGGGCCCGGGAAGCCAGGCTCTCCCCTTATTTTTAAACCAAACTGAGGCCCGAAGGGCCGAAAAAAATTTTTTGAGACCGCCTTCCCCCTATCTCAGGGTCTGGATGACCGCTCCCCCCCTCCCCGCTCCCCACCTTATCTGAAGGTCTAGATCCGCCATTGCTGTCTTCTTGCCCTCCCAATGTTGGTATACAAGATTTGGCAAGTTAACTGCGATAAAAAAAATTGGAAGGACGAGAAGATGGGCCAGAAGTTGAAAAAACAGCGTTGGGTGGAAGTTTTCCAACTATTTTTACCGGAGACTGGCTCTAGATACGATTCAAGACTGACAACGAAAGGTGAAATTACTGCGTCGTTGGGTGCTCCTGCTCAATGATAATGAATGACACAACTCTATTGAGACAGCTAACCATAATATCAACTGACCCATGTCGACACAAGTTGAAAACACTATTTCCTTTTCTGGTCGCAAAACTTCATATAAATATATTATTATGGACGACAATTATTTTTATTTAAGAATGAACAATATTTTTTAATTTAAGAATGAACAACAGGGTTTAAACACGGAAGAATTTCGAGTTTCTGTGACGTCTGTTGAAGGGTTTTGCACAATTTCTCGCATTTCTGTTAAGTCTCCCAATTAACTTTAGGTTTTGCAATATTTTCGGCTAAATAAATAATGGAAGTAGAAAAACTTGGCATCATTATTTAACTTTTTTTAAAATAAACTTTTCACATGCAGTTTTTGATGAATTTTAATAAGGTTTTCAGCGGAATGTAAAGAAATTAGGTTTAACAAAAGGAGACAAACGTAGCCAAGTTTTTTTATATGTCTCTTTTTACCTCGCTTTAAAGCAATATTCACTCGTGTTAAAACACGAAAAATGTGTAAAACTGGCTTTATTCAGGTAGCTTTAAAACCAATTGAGTATAATTAACCGCGCTCCCTAATTCGATCGATTATATATAATCGCCCCCCAAAAAGGAAGATTCGAGAGTGCCGAGTCATAAATAATGGCATTTGATATGAATATTGAAAAAAATTAAGGAACATTACTCAAGACTGGCAGGGGAAGCTTATACATGTAGCAAGGGCCGAGGTACAAGGCAAAAAAGGTGCCGAATCCTGGTAGATCAGTCTAGTGGGCAAATTTTGTCGAATAACTGGCAGAAGAAAGGCTAGCATTCTTCTAGCTGAAGTCAGTCTTGCTTCTTGATTTCATGATTTATTCACAATAAAAGAGCCAGCTTAGCTTGGAGAATTAATGATACCTTAATGAAAACGGTCAAAATAAATTTCAGGTTACAACGACGATCCATGCATCCACCCAGCCGTTTCCAACGCACGCGTTCTCCTGAAGCCGCTCAATTTTTTTCCGTCCAAAAACTATTAAAACTAAATCGCAAAATGCAATATTTGATTTGCTTTCATATCAAGATCACAACAAGTTATTTCTCCAGATAGTTCTCTTGAATTTTTGGTGACCCAAGACAGCGTTATATTAGCAGTGCGGTAATCTATAAGCGATCCGCAATCTATTAAAGTTCAAAGACTTTTGGAAGTTTCCGAGCCGGTGAACAAAGAGAAATTTCTTTGAACAACTAGATTTCAATTCTTTTTACCCCGCCAAATTTTACTTATTTAAGTGCAAAGATTTATATTCAAAATTTTCAGCAGTTAAGCGTTTATATTTGTATATGAGCTTGTACCTAACCCAGAATGTGTAGGACTCTAAACTTAATTGAGGGTCCTAATTGTTTTGTTTCGAAGAAACAGGAGATCAAAGTTTCTGAGAAAGCTAACACACTCCCATTGAAGGGCGTATAATTCTGTAAAAAGAGATCTTTTCGCTTTTCAACAAAATGACCTGTTTTATATTCGGCTTTTTTCCAAAGAATCTATCACACTAAGTCGTAACCGTTTAAAAAATACTATGAGACCCCAAACTACCGGCAAAAGCATGCTCACGATCACAAGAAATTATAATTTCACTGGTCATCAGAGATGAGATAGTTTGTAACAGTTTGTAAACTAAACTGACCTGCAACTGAAGACAAAAGTTGGGTAAAAATAAGAAAATAAAAGCCAGTTGCCAGGATCCTTCTCCAAGCCATCATCACACCGAAGGAGCAAACAAAATTGTTTTAACGTCGCTCTTCGTGGTTGTTGGTAGGAGGCATTAGCCAGATTTCCTGTTTGACCGGTTTGCAGTATTCTTCGAATCGAGGCCATTTTCTCGGAAATTATGATTAAGTGCATTGTGCCGTGATGAACCACAGTGACGCAGGACCGGAATTGTCGACTCCAGAAAATACCATAACATACCATAATGCTCTTTGTTTGCACCCCCAAATTTTGCATGAGCATTGTTTTCAGTTTTTCTTGGGGCCATTTGAACTCCCAAGAGAAACTGAAGACAATGCTTATGCAAAATTTTGGGGTGACAAACAAAGAGCATTATGATATGTTATGGTATTTTCTGGAGTCGTCAATAGGGAGCTTATTAGGGAGCTTTAGCAACGACGACGGCGACGTCAAAGAGGACGTCAAAAAAGCAATAGGTTTGTTACGCAAAACAACAACTTTGCTCGTGCATCACGCTTTTTTGTACATTTCTTTACCGTCCTTGCGCGACTACGACGTGAAAATGCCTAATTGCAAGTTTTATGGAGGACGTAAACAAGCGACGACGAATCTCTTTTTCTCTCTTTAAACTTGAGTACGGTCCTCTAGAAATCAACTCCAGGGAAATTCGCCTACACTTGCCATTTTCAGCAAATTGGAATAAACGCGACAAAGATTGAAAAAAACGGGAATTCATTTTAAAACTGACGTTTTCGCTGCCGTTGCCGTCGTCGATGCTAAAGCTCTCTATTAAGCAACGACGACGACCACGGCAACGAGAGCAGCAACACTGGCAAAACAACATTTTTGCACGGGCATCACGCCTTTTTGTACTTTTCTTTGCTGTCACTGCACAACTACGGCGTGAAATTTTTCTAACTTCACGATTTATGGAGGACGGGAACACATGACAACGATTTTCTTTTTCTTTTTGTGAACGTAGATATAGTCCTTTAGAATTTAACTCCTGAAAATATCGCCAACATTTGACAAATTAAAAGAGTTGCAATAAGAGCGATGAAATTTGAAGCAGCGCGGATTCAGTTTTCGGGTGACGTTTTAGCTCCCGTTGCCATCATCGTTGCTTAAGCTCCCTAATGAAGGGGGAAGGGGGAGGGGTGTGGGGAGTGGAAAGAGGGTAAAACAAGCCCTGGGCCCAGTTGTTGGAAGGCCGATTAGCGCTAACCCAGAGTTAAATTTTAACCCGGGTCTCTTTTTCTTTTGATCAAAAGCATTTTCTCGGATAATTTTCTCTATTCTTTTTAGAGTAGCCAATCATCAAATTGTTGACAAAATGAATTAAACTGAATTTGCTTTTTAAGCTTTCACAGCTGAATTCAAATTTCCAACTAACCCTGGATTATCTTAACCCAGCTTTGAACAACTCGGCCAGTTGAAGAACCCGTAAAAATTTGTGGGTGCGTTCCATGATCCAATCAGATCACGCGGATCACGGTAGATCAAATGAACCGACGGTTCATTTGATCTACTGATCCGCGTGATCTCGGATCACTAGCTGATCCTGATCCGGATGATCTCAAAGAAACGCACCTATATATCTGAGAATCTCAATAGAGTGTTTTCACTCAAGTGGCCAGCATCTACTCAAATTGATTGGAACGAAAGAAAGCGTTTGCATAAGAAAAGAGTTCAACTCCCACAGGATTGGTTCGGGACACCAATATGGCCGCCGTTTTATTGTTTTGGGACACCAATATGGCCGCCGTGACATCATGTGAAAACACCGGCTCTGTTGACGAACGCGAACACAATAGAGTTAATCCCAGTCCCTTCTGGTTTGTTCTTTCCTGAGAAAATAAAAGCGTGGACGCTACGAGTCTGGAACAAAATTATTGAACATTCCATTATTTAACCTATTTCTTTACTATACGTATCATCCTATCTCAAATGCTTGATCTCCATCCGTATAAAACTATTATTTTTAGGATGTTTTCCTCTAATGGGGTCCAGAGTAAGGTGGCGTTTTTTTTCTCAGCTTCTCAAGTTTATGTCTTAAGAAACTAGGGTATCTAAGAGATAGTAATGCTGCGGCACATTCTGTTGATACTGGCATTAGTTAGGCAGTGAGACTTATAAGAATCGAAAATGACATTGAATGTCCTATTTACATGTTGGAAAGTACTAGAATAATTACTATCAGTCTATAGAAAGAACTCGTGGGAACGTTGTTTAGAAAATGATCAAGTAGTTAGACTAGTTACAACTCTGGTTTTCCCACAGTAAATTGTAGGAAATAATAGAAATTCAGATTGTTTATCCATATATATTTAATATATGGTGCACGATATTTTCTCTGGAAACACAATACTTTTCTTGCTGTTTGTTGTACTTTATTAAGCAACAGTTATTTAGCTATATATTTATAGAAAATAACAACACAAAAAACGGAAAAAAAAGAAAGAAGGAATAAAGAATTCGGTGGGACTCGAACCCTGCACCTTCGGCTCGACGCGACTACACCTAACCATTGCACCACAGAGGCTGATTATGTAATCTGCAGGAAAAGTCTTTTATTTTATTCCTTTTCCATATGAAACTTCCGCCGGCACAGTGATCGCCAGCCGCATTAACCGAGCTATTAACAGTGAAAAAACAGTGTAAACGCATATTCCATGGCAATGAATGAAAGAAAAAACATAATTATGCTTTTCAAAACGCCGATACACGTCCTCGTCTGCAAAATAGGACACAAAACATATGTTTTGTTATCTCGATTTCCGCTGTTATTTTGAAGCGAATGGTCAAAATCACATCCACTTTCGGCTCAAACAGTTTCTTAAGAATAGCACTGCATGACATTTTCTCACTTTCACATCACCTTCTAGCAAGCTGGAATTTGTATATCCCCCCGTGTTGCGGAGTCGAAGAGCAAATGCTCATCTTCTCGTCAGGTTTAACACCTGGGGCCCGTTTCTCGAAAGTCCCGATAATTAACGGGCCCGGTACGGCCGTCTCCGTTTACATTAAAGATCGAGGTTTCAATAGTTTTGCATCTAACATGATAAAACTGTCAGTTAGTGAAACTAAATGGAGTACTTTGATGGCCAGGACCCGCGCTCTTATTCTTTACATTTCGATTTCAATATTTGATTTCGGGCCCGTAAAGTTACTTTCGAGAAACGGGCCCCTGGACGAGTCAAAGGCTCTTGAATTGAAATCCAATCCCCAAGTTAATCATCGCACTCATCTGAAAGACTCCTGCGTGTCTTAAAATTTGGTAAGACCTCTAACCGTGCTGTAAAAAAATTTGCCACAAAGAAAACTCTAAGTCTGAGCAGCGAACGATGCACTCTCTCACCCACCGAACTTCCCCGTGTTTTTATTTGAGTTGTTCGTGGCGCAATGCACTCTGGTTAAATGCAATGCATTGTGGTAAAAAGTGTGGTTAAATGCAATGCATTGTGGTAAAAAGTGATGAATTCGAGAATTCGTCGCCCCTTATACATTTCCTTTAAATCCTGATTATGTTGCTGCTCGCTCCCTTCGGTCGCTCCGCAGCAATAAAAGGAAAAAGAAGATAAAATATTCTACTGCGAACTGACTTGAGGTTAAAATAAAGTGGAGAACCGTACTGAGCCAAGAATACGCACTACATATTTCAATCAAAAACGCCGATTTATTCATACTAAGTACGATCGAACCTCTATCAGCTGAAACAAGTTGTGGCCCCTTTAGGTTCTGTTTACACTGAAATAGCTATAAAGAGGTATAAATGAGTCATGAGTTAAGTAAAAAAAGGTTAGAAGCAATTATTACTTTGATCAAAATACACGGTGCATACAGTGGCAAACCTAACCCTAAAAAAATGAAAAACATTTCGAGTTCCATTAATGTTTAACTCTTATCACTATAATTGCCAGTTCTAAACCCTAATCACTATAGTCGGTGCTTAATTCCCATTTTCAGTGGTTAACCCTGACCTGACTCATTTTAAACGTGGTCTACAGTCTATTTCATTCGTAGGCTGGCTAACAAAATCTCATAATCATTTTCTGAACTATTACAAAGTAACGTAAATTCCATGAAAACATGTAAGGCCGGTCTTCACTTGGGACCAATCATGGGGGAGAAAATCCATTATCCACGAGACAAACTAAGGCAAAAAGAGTACTCAAAACGACAAACTTTATATTAGCCAAAATTCATACTGTTATTTCAAGCGATATATGGTTGTTTTTACAGTTAATTCATCACAATAAAAAAGACTAAATGGTTTAGCCGTGTAATGCGGGCTTAAGGCTGCATTAGGAGACACACTAGACACTATATTAAGAACTTGGGAGCCATGCCAATTGGGCTCATTCCTCCTCGACCAGTGGTCGCATGGGAACCCGACATTTGGCATTCGTTGTCATGACAGCGGAAGTACCAACACCAGGCGCGATGATGATAGGACCTTGATTGGCGGGGCGGCGCCTCCTACAGCAGCAGTAGCAACAGCAGCCACAGCAGACGGCGATGAGAAAAACAACCGTTCCAGCGATCACTGCTATTTTGGCAGGAATACTTAGGTCAATAAACCATCCGAAGAATCCTAAAAACAACAAATTTTGGTCATTTCTTTTCAAGCTGACACCTTTTTTACACGTATTGCACCGTGGAAATGAACAGTTATTCCTCAGTATATCGAATCAGCCCTACGTAGCTCCGATATCTGCAGTGACGAAAAATGAATGAAACGAAACTTCCCAGTAAAGAACCAGCTCTGTTATATTTTTCTGTACACCTGGCACTTGTTTATACCGGAGTTCCTCTTTACTTTACTCCTTTATCTGTGTTACTATGGTTACCAACATCGCAAGGTAATGAGGTGGACACGCTGATTTAACCTGAGTAGCAGGCACTTGGAAGTATTTGGGCGCAAGAAAGGACGAGAGTGCGAGAGTGAGACACGCGTGTCTACCTGTCGCGGCCCGTTCTTTCTTGCGCCCACTACTTCCAAACGCCTGCTACGCAGGCTAACACTGATTCAGTTCGATGTATACACGTATGGCAGGCACCTAATATAATCCCGCGGATGTCCCTCTCGTATTAGTAATGGTAACAGGACTGAGTGGAGTCCAATTCGGTCTGTAATCATACGAGTGATTAACAAAATCGGACGACCGCGTAGCGGGAGTCCGATTTGTTTAATCACGTATGATTACAGACCGAATTGGACGACACCAAGATCTGTTACCAATTAATCATAACTTTAACAAAATTTGTGATATAATAGGTTATTTTTTAAACCAAAACACAAGAAATTCGAAATTTTGTATTGCTAGCATTGAAAAAAAAAGCCATTTCAGCGCGCGCGTGATGGCGCGGACTGTCCTATTAAACTGTCCAATTTACGCTAAAATCAGGGCAGTTGATAACCAATCAGATTTGGGAATTTTGTTATAGTTATGATTAAGGTCTTAATTTGGTCCCGCGGGTGTCCCGCGGGTGTCCCGCTTTAAGTAAAGTGCTTATATTTAGTGTCGGACACCGCTTTATCGTACAGATTATTACTCGTGACAAGAACTTCTTTTAATTAGATATAGTACGCCATGTTGATCAAGATCAGTTTTACTTGCCACAATCGTCAGTTGAGATCGGCAAGTCTCCATCCACAACAGTGACTGGGGGGAGATAAACACCCAGTGCTCCGACCAGCAGATTCACCTGGTAAAAGATAAAACAGTCACCTTGAACTGATTCCATTCAATTGAGTGATGGTTCATTCAAATCTTACAAAAGTAGTTTGAAAGCTGCAACTAGAAAGACCTCTCTTCATATCAAAAATATGATCAGCATGAAGAAGTAAAAAACATTTAGTCTTCCTGGTTGCCAAGCGCAATTTTTTAATAAAAAATGTAGAAAACCATTTACACAGTAACCAGTTGTTTCGTTTTCGTTTTTGAGGATTCGTTTCTGTATGTGGGTTTTGATTTTGATTTTTATGTCTTAACTTACTTGAGCTAGTTGATGTACCACGTTAGAACAAGTCTAGCCTGCGCAAACATCCGTTTCTCCTCGCTCTTCGTCGCTGAGGAAGTTTCGCGCGGAAAGAAGAGCGAGTCGAAGAGCGCGAAGCATCACAGTGAGGGTAAAAGACGGAATGAGTGTGCGGAATGGCATGTGGCAAGCTTGCGGAATGAAATAATTATGCGGAATGCAATATTTGGAAATGGCACGGAGGAATAAATTAAACAGAAAAGCATACGCGCGTCTCTGCCGCGCCTTATTTTGGCACAAATTTGAAAGAGCAACCGCTCTGCCGGTCCGTTTATTATTGCTGCCTCAAACCAAGAAGCCAGAGCAGCGCGTTGGAGTTTACGAGGATTATGGAGGAAATCACTTCTAGTAGCGGTAGGCTTTACGAGGCTGCTAAGAAATGGTAGACTCGGTAGTCCCAAATGAAATAAACAAATAAGCCTCGTAAATACGCGCAGACGTACTGTGTCGCAAATCTGTCTTGTCCTGTAACTAACCTGTACTTCACTAAACTCAAATCAAGGGTCACTCTTTATCGTAACGCTAGAGGGAACAGAACGCTCGTTGAACGTGCATGAAGTCGGATATATTTGATCTCCGAATATTATGTCACGATCACGCGACCCACTTCTCACGCAGTTTCAAATATAGTAGAACGCCAGTAACTCGAACTCTGAAGGGAAAGGAAAAACAGTTCGAGTTGCAGCTGGAGTTAGCGAGGGTTCGAGTTATGGGAGTCGATTGCAATTCAATTTGCCATGTTAAAATTGCTAGTTACTGGTCTTTCAACACTCCAGTGTATAGTGCAGTACAAATCTATCTTATTTCATCAGAAACGGTAAAATGATTAACCATTTTTAGTCATAAAACGTAATCTGTTTGCACCAATTAAAATCAAATTGCTGTAATGCTGACCGGTCTTATTTTTAGTGTTTTTACCATTCATCCAAAAAGAACTAATTGGATGGTATCTGAGTGGAGTTCCAAGAACCAGAATTCGAGTTACTGGGGTAAATTTTGCGAATTTCTGATCAAGGGAAAGGAAATTTATTTTGAGTCATTGGAGAATTCGAATATCCGAATTCGAGCTAACGGTCGAGTAAAAATGAATGAAAAGTGGGATGAAATCCAGGGGAAATTGGACTTAGTTCGAGTGAGCGGGGAGTGCGAGTTATCCGATTTCGAGATATAAGGGTTCTCCTCTACAAGTAAAGGTAAAAAAAACCTGTGGAGTTAATCGTGCAAACAACTTTTGGAGAAAAATAAAATAAAGCAAAGGGGAGCGTGACCTTCCAAAACATCTTTTCTTCAATGGCCGACTTTAGTGATGTAAAATCGGTAATGCCATGCAGCCCGCCTGAATAAATCTAATCTTTGTGGCTGTGCGAAAAAGGCTAATTGAGAGTGAGAAATCGAGGAATCCTTCGTGGCTTTTTGATTGTCATCGTAGTCGAGCCCGCAAAATTAAAAAAGTCGCTACTTTTGCAAATTGATTGGCGTCAAAAAAGGGTGCACTTTTCCGTTTAATTTATTTCTTTCAGCCATTCAGCATATATCACATTCCGCATGATTATGTCACTCCGCAAACTCACTCCTTTTACCCTCACCGGTCACATGAGACCCCGCCAATTAGCCAATTGTTTATTTATCGTGACGTAAGGGAGCTTTCAATTATTGTGCTGGGAAAGGCCCTGTGGGAAATGGCTTGTGTGAATGGGGAGACTGGAACGTATGGATTGAAACAAATTTTGACGACCATCCCCGCCCCCTTTCCCCTTTCCTTCCAGGTGATTATAAATGAAAGCCTTAAGAACACACCTTTAAATGCAGTGTATCTCCGTTATTGGTGAGGTCTACTTGAACGTACACACCACCAACAGGAACACTAAATCCGGGCACTGGAATTTTGTCATCACCACTGTAGGTATGAGACCACGTGATATCCATATCTGGGACATTCATGGAAGCCGTTACAGTAACAGGGTCATCACATTTGTTGATCTAGCGAGTAAGAGAATATATATTTTCATCAATAGAGCCTATTTATACGCGATAGCTATTCACATGTCGCTGCTTCGCTAGAAATGGTCACACTTCAAAATTTCATCCACAGTAACTCAAAAGTTAGAAGCCCATTGTACAGTGTAGTAAACAGTACCACAGGAAAGTACTGCTCAGTAGCTTTCATTTGAATGGTCACGGATTTCATCCACAGACTCAAAAGTTAGAACCACCTTGTACATGGAGGATATTACACGGTGGCGCGAAGATATGAATTTTATTTTCGAGTGGCAAAACAATATTTTACAAACGAGCGCAGCGAGTGAGTAAAATATTGTTTTTGCCACTCGAAAATAAAATTCATATCTTCGCGCCACCGTGTAATGTTCTTTTTATTATATAGACAAAAAGACATCGATAAAATAATAGAGGGAAATGACCGAAATTACGTCATCGATAAACTCACGTGTGAGATTATGGAAAATAAACCACTCGGGTCCCGGATGTAGTTTTTATGAATTTTACGAGTGGTATATTTTCCAGTAAAACACTCGTGTCTATATAATAAAGCATAATAAACAGTACCATGGAAAGTACTGCTCAGTAGCTTTCAATTGACTAAAGTTATAACTTATAACATCATTGTCTCATTGTAATTGATTTCATTGCTTGTCATAAGCGTTTCAGTTCGCAATCTAAAACTACCTAGTCCGTTATGGCGTTAAATTCTTAGCATACCTTGAGTTTGAATGTGATTGGCTTCTTGACGAAATCCATTTTGCAGGTGATCGTGCTGCAGTCATCGCTTAGTGAACAGCCATCGCCCAAGGTTGGAGAAGAACCGGAACATCCCCCAACCTCAGAGATTGAGTCTGGCTGTATATCTTGGTGGTCTTCAGGTTCTTCAAACTCAGCTAAAAACCAAATAATTTAACTGCTGATCATAAAACCATTACCTACTGATTAGATTAAGGTTACGTTTACATTATACCAGATAGCTTTTGCGCCTGCGCGAAGACCATCATGATATCGGATAGGGCATCTGTTGACACACAGGAACGATCACGGTGATCTCGGCGCGATTTCTGTAACGATCACTAAAGTGGAGAGTCACATATCGGATAGGTGTTCATACAATATCGGATACGATAGCTAACCTGCGATCAGGCGTTTTTTTCCCCAGACAAAAAGGGAAGAAGGATATCTCATGATACCTGATCGCAGGTTATTCGATAGCTGGCCTTCTGTGCTAGTCAGTCCGGATACCAAAGTTCTCAACACGATAAATGCGTTTTTGTGCATGTACTTTACTCTAAAGAGCTTTTAATAAGAATTTCAAGAATAAGACTGACGAAAGTATTACTTTATAGTCTTAAGGGGGAGATTTGTATCAAAAGACGTCCAAAATTTTATCGTCCACAAATGTTCACCGACGGTCAATACAAAGGCTGGTAAAAGTTTACGCAATTATCTGAAACTAGAATAAATCACTGTAAATTCCAAATGTCGATATTTCGGAAATAACTCTAAGAATATACTTGTGCACTTTTCGTGTATTCAAAGTTTGAAAAATACTATGGTATAAATTACAAGCAGATTTTCACGCCCGTTCCTTGGTGGTCATGACGACGTGATACGACTCAGCGATATTTCGAATGTCTTCGCGTAATTTACTGACGTTTCACTCCCCCGAAAACTATTGCATTTTAAAACATCTTAAATGTCATCGACGCTTGAAGTGGTTTTTACAAGGAAATCGCAAAGGTTTAACTTTGTTTTCCAACAATGATCAACAATTTATGCAGCGGCCTGTGAAACCCCAGTACTTCAACCCTTTGCGATACCTTAGAGGTTCCGAGGAACTTCCGTCGGTGGTCGGCGCAGTGTTTGAAATAATTGGAATGCCACCACGTACTATCAGAGTATCAATAAATTTAATACTTGGTTCATTGAGCTATGATTCTGTTTTATTGTAGACGTTTTTATTCTAGTATTTCAAAGATCACAACTAAAAAATGGAAATGACGACAGGCAAGCGGCCATTAACTGCACATATCAAGGGATAATTTGACATCACGTTAGCGAAATTTTAATTTTTAAATAACACGCTAGACAATTATATACAAGCTGCTCTTTCAGGAGGTTTTCGAAGATTTTGATTCGTTTGTAGAGCCTTAAATTCTATAACGCGGTTCTAATATCGTGAAATCGAATTTAAAAGCCGGAGCATGCAGTTTAAGTTTTTGAAGCAACCTTCCCGGCTAGCTGAACATTACTGTGGAACTCGACTGGACAAGCCAAGAAATACTGAAGTATGATCAAGTATATTTAAGTTATTTAGTTTGCTAAAAATACTTAAAACTTTAATATCATAGTTTACAACGTTACCAGAGAGGTTCTAAAAGCTTTTAAAGCCATCAGACAGACTGATCAGAAAGCTTCACTGATGTCGACAGTTGAGCTAAGATATAAACAAGGGGAGGAGTTTCACCGCTTCACTCGCCATTCGAGGCGAATTCCTTTCCCAATTTTTACCGTTCTCTCATTCTAAAGAAACAGGTCATATATATCCGTCAAGTTTTTAATGGTTATTTTGGAAATTATGACTTCATTTGGTGGTTATTCGCGGAGCAAAATGTGCGGTATTGTTTAAAGTAAAAGGGCGAAGAGTCCCGAGGCAGAGCATTGATTCCAAGAACACACCAAGGCCGTCAAGATTCCGGGAAAGCACGAGAGAGAGATTATTCTCTCTTGCCAAAAAAAAAGAGTAGTACAAAAAAAATACCTTTATCTAGATAGAGCTATAGGTGACAAAAACACATTTTTTAACTTTTCGGCGATGGATTGGTCTTTGCCGTACCGACAGCCTTTTTTATACCGAAAACGTTCAAATGTTCCTCGAAACAAGAATTCTCCCCGGGCTATCGTATCAAGATTTCCGAGAAAACTGTAACCCACGACAATGCTTTCTTCAATGCGAATTTCCTAACTTGTGATTCTAATAAAACAAACACGTGTTTTGAGTAAACTTACAATGTGATTTCTCACACCAAGCGGGCAAACTTAAGCCGATTTTTGCTCATTTCAGGTTAAAAACCATTCGAAACCATGTTAAAAACTGAACAAACCTACCTGCAGTTGAAGAAAATGCGTGGCAAAAAATGAACACGAAAAGACCAGCAATAACTATCCGCTCTGAAGCCATTTTTACTACAATCTGGCAATAGATTCAAACAGAAATTGAAGTTGTTAAGCCTTTCTTCAAAAAACGATCTATAAGGAAGTCAAGCCTTGTTTTCTCGGAAATCTTGCATGACGCAGTAGTGCCCAGACTCTGCTGGGTGACCAGGCACTGTATGGGGTGGGACGGGGGTTAAGTCATACCCACCTTTTCATTTTTAGTTAAAAGTTTCGGGCACTGGCTCGCTGAAGAAAGACACTTTCCTTTTAAAGAGGTTCTGTTTGTAATTATATGCAACGGGTTTCTAGCTTTCTGATTGGAATAAACGATTGCCTCTTTTATTAAAACGTCCCCTGTCTAACTGAAAGCCTACTCTTCAATGGCCCTAAAATTAATCACAAACGCGCAGGGCGTTTGTGAAACCATTTAGGGTAAGCAATTTTATAGGGCTGCTGAAAACCAATCAGATTGGAAAATTTTCTTATTGGCACAATTAAATGATGATGATGATGATGATGATGATGATGATATTAATGACACACCCGTTACAGTTGTAATACGGACACTTAAGGGAGTCATAGAAAGTGTTCGTATTAAGCGTGTCATGTTATTAAAATCGATAGAACAAAATAGGAAAGAAATAAAAGAGGACATTAGCATCGTCAATTCAAACATCTTCAACTTACACAAATCCGTCATTCCGCGGGGCAATCCACGGAAACACTCTAAAATCGCTCATCTTTACATCACGTAATCAAAAATGTTCTCTGTAAAACAAGTTTGTAGACTTTCAAAAAAGCCCTTCGTCCAATTTAATGAAAAATTTTATGTGGCTAGTTTAGGACTCGCAAATGCAATGTTAGTCACGCCACTTTCCATCATACTTTGGCGCGAAACGCAAATGGAGGCAAGATTTCGTCGCGCGTTCGCATGGCCACTTCCCTCCCGGCCTAAAAAGCTCGCTCCGCTCGCAAAGAAACTCATGAGCTCGACTTGTAGCTACGTGTACCAAGTCTAAACTAGTTTGACGCCATAGGTGTTACCTTCAAAAAGGAAAGGTTTGATACAACACACAGCTGATTATGAAGAGTCCGCATTAGCTAGGTTGACTTTCTATCTGTCCATTGGGCATGAGAGAAGTGTCCTTTGTCTGCATTAACGGGTCAAGTCTGTATTAAGCGGGTTGAATTTAGAGAAAATGTAGGGGCTTTCCCTAGGGACAAAGAAAACTGTCCGTAATATTCAGAGGGTGTCCGTAAAGAGGGTTTGACTGTACTTTTTCGCTAAAAATCTATTCGCATTTTTACTAGAGTTGTGTTACCTAATCTTTTTGAACACAGCTTAGCTTTTAAGGAAGTTGTTGCCGAAATAGAGCTCGTTTGATTGGCTGAGTGGCTCTTTTTTTAGCAAGTGACGTAGTTTTTTATTTGTGAAAATTATTGTTTTCTTGACATGTCTTAGCTGGTCTCCTAGGAACGGCCATAAAAGGAAATATTGATTTGAATATCTAATTAGAGTTCTCGGCAGTTCGCTAGTTTAACAGAGTGGGCATTCGAACATCAAGATGGAGGGAAAGTTTCTCGTTTCGTTGCTGATTTTGGGCCTGGCTTCTTCTTCTCTAGGTATGTTTCCTCTGTAAAACATTTTTCTAAGATCTGAGTTTATGCAGCAAGTACGTAGCAAAGTGACGATGTTTTTCGGTTAGGTGCAAATTTTGTTACGCAACATATTTGTTTTGACACTACACTGTCAATTCTTCACGTAGGAGGAAATTTAAAGATAAACCCAACTTTCCTATCCTTTCCCGGTGACTGGTTTTGCTAGTCTTTTAACAGGTAAAAACATTACGCTCAACGAAATTGCTGGATAAGAACTTTTCGCACCAGCCATGTCGTCTCTTGCAGTACGATGATCCATCCATGTCATCATGATCGAAAAACTTTACTCATTTCAATTTCTTCAAGGAATCGGTTCACTCTTTTAAAAAATCGTATAAAGCGAACGCAAAAGTTTTGAATTTGCGCTGTGTTTCTGAGGAAAATTTTGAGGAACGTTTCATCTTCTGCCGTTCCGTTCAGCTGCTTCAAGTTTGTTTATTTCATGACGTTTCATACAAACCTTGTCCTGTAATTTTAGTTTCGGGAAAGAAAACCGATTAAAACGCGAGCCATTTCCACTGCATTAACTCACAGACATTAAAAGCACAAGATATCTTCACTAACGTATTTTTCCCCAGCTCTGTTAATTGATTCCGTCTAAACGAAAAAAGCTGCGTCATATAGTGTCATCCGGAACGAAGACTTTGTTTGTACAATTCATTGTTTAATACTTTGAAATATTGTTCGTGTCCGAGTTTAGTTGTTACTTTGTTAGAAGTGATTTATTCTCTTTACATTTTTCAAGGCTATCTTCCAAATTTATCGATAACATAACTTCAGCTTAGTGGTACGTGATGCATGTACGGACTGTAAGTTGTCAAAAGAATTAAACAGCTACATGCATGTGACGTCTTCTTTACTTTGTTTCTCGCGGAAATGTGGGAAGTGGGATATGCGAGATGTGGTTGCATGCGGAGCTTGCCCGTTAAGGTGCTAGCGGAGGCCGATTTGGGCAATTTTAGTCGTATGAAAATATTAGAAGCATTTAATAAAAATAAGTGAAATTTTTGGGTGCAAGTGGTAACTGTAAGTACATCTTCTTTCGGATATCTTTTTAGGAATTTGTGGAATTCACAAAAATTTTGAGTGTTGTCGAAGAAAAGCTTTTATGTCTATTACTTATGACGAATTAACAAGGAAAAAAATTTGCAGTCTCAGTGGCATGAAGCGCTGAAATGCACAAACCGACAGACTACACGATCATGAACATGTTAGCTTTGTTAGCTTAGCTTTGTTTTGAAAGTGAGAGTTTTCAGAACTCGGAAGTAGCCTATTAGTTTGCTGCATGACGTAGTGTTTTTACATCATTGAATATCAGCAAAAGGTGGACATCGTGGCCGTGACCATGATCATGACAGGTATCACAAGAAACATGATGACGACAAGAAATGTCCTCCACTTTACACTTCTCCTGACCTTCCTATGAAGTGTTCCACCAGCGGGGAAGGCTGTAGCAAAATCACTTGCTCTACACAGCTGGATGGTCAGACCGTCACGCTGAGTCTTCAGTTTAACTCTGCTGAGGATGTAATGAGTGCAACAATCACTCTTAAGGTTCCAAACCTTGACTATGAATGGTCGCATACTTTCAAGAGTGGAGACAAGATCCAGGTACCAGGTTTCCCTCTAAAGATCAAAGGAGTGGCTAATGCAGATATGTACCTGATGTTGAAACTCGTCAAAGGAAAAATGGGAGTTGCATTCAAGGTAATTTATTATGTGAAAGTGAAATGCAGTCCTTGCAAGAAGTCAATTTTTATATATCCTCTTAGATAGTTTTCTGGGTGTCAATGGCTTTGCATACCTGAAATCAATGTAAGCAGATAAAAAGTCCTCCGAAATGAGGTCCTGTGAGGCTAAACCAATTTGGATCGTCATACTTTTCTGGGAAACTGCCCACCTACCCCTCCCCTAAGCCAACATTAACACTTACTTCTCACTTAGGGCAAATTGTTGGCTTAGGGAAGGGGTAGGTGGGCAGCTTCCCAGAAATAAATAATGATCCACTGATTCCAAAAAAGGGACAGGGCCTTGAAACGGCAACATATAATTAGGGATCCTTAGCAACGGCGACGGCAACTAGGACGTCAAAAAAGCAATAGGTTTATTACGCAAAACAACAACCTTGCACATGCATCACGTTTTTTTGTACATTTCTTTACCGTCCTTGCACGACTACGACGTGAAAATGCCTAATTGCAAGTTTTATGGACGACGTAAACAAGTGATGACGAATCTCTTTTTCTCTCTCTAAACTTGAGTGCGGTCCTCAAGTAATCAACTCCAGGGAAATTAGCCTACACTTGCCATTTTCAGCAAATTGGAATAAACGCGACAAAGATTGAAAAAATGGGAATTCATTTTAAAACTGACGTTTTCGCTGCCATTGCCGTTGTCGATGCTAAAGCTCCCTATTGATGATTTTTAGTGGTGACATAACAACACAAACATGGATTAAAACTGTGAGATGGACAAAGATGCATACTTGACAATAATTTATGTATAAATACCAATGTGGATGTGGCTTGCTCCTGAATATCTGAAATGACAGGTTTTAAAATTCTAATGAAGGACATGCACACACCCCTTTACTGAAAAAAAGAACGAAAACAAAAAGAGAAACCCAAGTCAGGTGTTCTTTTTCTTTTCCTCATGTGAAAACCACTTGGTAGATTTGCTTCCATGCATGTTTGCTTGGACCAAAAAATTAAAGGCCATATTTTTGCATCTGGAAAAAGGGAAGAGGTGTTTTCAGAATAGCAAATTAACTGTATTACAATGTTTTGAATACCTATAGATTCATTTTTCTTAGCTTAAGCTTAAAAAATATGGTAAATATAATTAGTGGAGTTTTAAATAAATGCCTAAGTAGCAGTTTATATTTGTTACATTTTGTCACTCATGGTTAATTATTTTTGTGTTTGAAAGGTGGATCTCTATGTCAAGATTGACAGTTCAGAACCTTTGGATGTTACCTTAGTGAAGGGCAAGGTGCCTCACATGGAGCATCACCGCTGGAGCAAATGCGGCAGTGAGTATTTTTATTTTATTTTATTCTTATTTTATAAGCTTCGCCAAAAAAACAAACAAACAAACAAACAGAAAGAACGTTGGCAGGGACACCGCAACAGATGTGGCCAATTACAGCAGACCTGGATGCTCAAAAAAAGTGAAAAAAAGAAATGTTAAAAAGCACAGTGATACAAGAAAAACTCCAGCTATGTACAACGAGTTATTGGACGAGGCAAGGGACGAGCACTATTACATTTTAAACAGATAGAATTGAACGAACGTGGGTCTTTACAATCATAGGAAACAGCTAACGCGGACCTACAATAATTAAAAATAACCTATTTAAAGGAAGCTAAGGTTGATGAGCTCAAATCCAGTTCATCCACTACACAATTCCAAATTCTACTAGTATTGAGTATTAGTCTTCTCATCTCTCAAGTTCCTAAGGGATGCATTAAAGTAATCTCCCGATTGTGGAAATATATGTATCCCCTTCTCTGAACGAGGGCTATAATTTAGTTTCTATGGAGCATGGTGGATTCCTTAATTCCTAGGAACCCAGTGGTCAAAATTGAGAAGTCTTTAGCTATAACATCCTTAACTAGAAGTTAAGAAGTTTGGTAATTAATTCACGAAGGCCAATATCCAGCTATCCAGAAACCGATCAAGCTTGGTCAATAATGCATTTATTGTATGGCCAAAAGAAAACTTTTTTCTGGCGAGACCAATGTGCAAAAATTGTAAGCCAGCTTGGGAAGTCAATCAGAACGTGAGGTTTTCTTCAGCCTTCCCAATAATGGACTCAGCCACATAATGAATAAAACTCCTTATAACTGAATTTAGACAGTAACCAGTTTGGCCACTCCAAAAATACACAGGAAAAAATTATGTACTTACGTGTCAAGTCATTAACTTGTCCTTGTGAAAAATTTGTGTTTTTTTGTCCAGGGTTTGCATCCTGGTTCAAGCGCCAGTCCACCGCTGTCAAGGCCAGCATCATTGTGAGTGCTATCTTGGTTTCCCTGATGGTGGTCTTTGCCATTGCCTACTGCTGCAAGAAACGTCGCACCAGTGCAAGCAAGTTGGGCGTCAAGCCTCCAACTTATGAAGAGGCTACATATCCCGTTAAAAGCAAGGTTCCAATGGAACCACTGGTCAATGAGGAGTAGCTTGTAGGCGCAGCTCCTTGTCGCATATCCCAGTCTACATAGTTAAGAACACATACTGCCATACCTGTAAATTAGAGAATTTGTCAAAGCAGTTTTAAGTTGCAGTAAGCTTATTCGTAACCCCCTGGGTCGGGTTGTTCAAAGCTGGGTTAAGATAACCCAGGGTTAGTGCAAAATTTGAATTCAGATACGAAAGTGTAAAAAGTAAATTCAGTTTAATTATTTTTGTTAGCAAGGTGATGATTGGATGTTCTTAAAAATAACAGAGAAAATGTTTTTGAGCAAAAGAGAAAGAAACCTGGGTTAAGTGCAAATTGATCATCCTTGTGTTGAAAGGGGTGTGTGGGTGGGGCAATTTTGTTAGCAAGGTGATGATTGGATGTTCTTAAAAATAACAGAGAAAATGTTTTTGAGCAAAAGAGAAAGAAACCTGGGTTAAGTGCAAATTGATCATCCTTGTGTTGAAAGGGGTGTGTGGGTGGGGCAAAGGCTTGTGCCATTGTTTTGCCACGGCACTTTCTCCAATATTTTGTGAAGGGTTTAGTTTTGAGTCACACTGTGTACATGTGGTTCCTTTGTTATGGCATTCAAACTCATGCTGCATATGTGACAATCACATAATTTTAAAACTTAAAACTGCTTGAGGCTTTAGTGTAGCTAAAATAGTTTTTAAACTTAATGCAATGCATACTGGGAAGCTCATGTGACTTTTTTTTCACTTTTGTAAGAATAGTGCATTTTGCTTTGGTGTTTACTTTTGTATGATTACTATGTGTCCTGTATTTTCTATTCATTATAATTAAAGAAGCACAAAAAAGGTGGAATTATGTGTGTCCCCTGAAGTGTATTCTCTCTCCTCTCTTCATGGTATTCCAAACGTGGCAGTTTGCAGGATGGTTGTCACATGAAGTTAATGGTTTAAAGGTCAGCAAATACATCACAAACACATCCAAATCTAAATATAGTCCTTATGATTGGTTGTAAAAATGCATACATTGAAATGAGACTCTTTGCCAGATAGAAAATCGAAGAATTGAGTTAAGTTTTGACCTTTTTACTTAAGAGTATAAAAAGAGTGTTAAGATCAGGAGCCCCAGAAACGTTGCTTTTGTTATTGAAATTTGTTGCAAGGGAAATAAAAGAATCTTTTGTTTCAAGAACCAATGTGCTTCTGGTTGGCACATTAATATCAATAGGTGATGTCGGCTTCAGTATGGTTATAACAGGGTTGTGGGCACCTGATTAAGACTTAATTTTATAAAAACCAACATCGGAAATAAAAACCCGGGTTGGGGGGGGGGGTGTATTTGGTGTAATGGTCTATACTGGGAGGCTCTTCCTTGGCCCTCTAGGTCACTATGGTGACCTGCATCAATTTTCTCCTAACATTTTCCATACATGAAGAAGAGAAATGGTTATTAGAATTAATGAAATAATCACCAAGTATGAAATACTTTAGTCTTTAATCAAATTCTCTCAACAGGAGACCATCACCCTGGGCTCCTGCTCTCAACTAATCTTTGAAGGAAATATATAGGGATCAGTGTGGAGAATCTGGATACAGGGGCTTAAAAAGTTAAAGGAGTACCCTTTTTAACCTGTGTATCTGAAATGGCTGGGATAAAGTTGAAGTATATAAATGGGTGGGAAAATGTTTAAAATTGGTATATAAAAGCGTATGGAAGGCTAAACCACCCCATACATATCTTAGAAAAGTAGCCCCATCCCTTCCCCATGGGAACAAAAAGAGGATAGACTCATCCCAGCCCATACTGTGCTTGCCACCCATGCTGCTTTCCTTTAGATTCGCTCTTCCTCAAGGAAAGTGAACCTTCGAAGTGCTTTTCAGTGGTGCAAAAAGCCAAACCGAGTTCCCACCACAAAACGACGGGGAAGGGGAGAAGGCAAGACAGTTTCTTTTCCGCAAAATAAGATAAAAAAGACTGTTTCGTGATATTCTGGATACAAAAGAATGTTTTGTAGACATGAAAAATGAAAGTTTTGAAAAAGTAAAAGAAATCGAAATTCTCCAAACGGGTTAGTCCATGGTTTTTGTCAAAAAATGGCCATTTTCCATCGTTTGTTTTTTCTGCAAAATAAAGCAAAAAAAAAAAAAAATGTTTCGTGACATTGCGGACTGAAAAGGATGTTTTCTAGACATGAAAAGTAAAGTTTTGAAAAAATTCCAAAAAATCGCAATTTTTGCAAAGGGCGTAGTCTATGGTTTTCGTCAAAAAATGGCCATTTTCCATGCATGGTTTGTTTTTTTCCGCAAAATAAGCCAGAAAAAATGGTTATTGATATTCTGGATAGAAAAGGTTATTTTCTAGACAAAAAAAATGAAGTTTTGTAAAAAGTATACATAAGGGAAATTTTCCAAATGGAATTAGTCCATGGATTTTGTCAAAAAATAGCCATTTTCCATTTATGGGCCAGAAAAATTTTTTTCTTGACATTATGAATAGAAAAGAATTCTTTTTAGACAAGAAAAATGAAGTCTTCAAACAGTGACAGAAACCAAAATTTTTCCAAAGGGGTTAGTTCATACCCCTTTAGAAAACTTCGATTTTTTTTCACTTATAAAAACTTAATTTTTCTTGTCTAGAAAACATTCTTTTCTCTCCAGAATATCAAGAAACAATGTTTTCTAGCTCATTTTCCACAAAAAACATAAGATCGAAAATGGCCATTTTTTAACAAAAACCATGGACTAACCCCTTTGAAAAAATTTCGCTTTTTTTTACTTTTTCAAAACTTCATTTTTCTTGTCTAGAAATCATTCTTTTCTATTCAGAATATTCCGTAAGAGTGTTTTTGCCTTATTTTTGAAAAAAAAAAACATACAAAATGCCCATTTGTTTACAAAAACCTAGTTGTCAACAGAATCCCCTTACTTGCGAGCGCGAACAATAGAAACGTCATCCCTCGCGGCCCCTGTTCAATCAAATCGCGATATTTTCTGGCATACTGACTTAACATTTCAACTGTAAGTACTTTCCTTTATATACGTGCGAGTTACTAGAGATTTCGTCCTCTGGGGAAGACATCTCACTGTCTATCATGACATCAAGAATTTTGGCTAGTGTACACGAACAGGAGCCCGTAAAAAATTGATCAAGAAGAACTCTAATATATAGTACTGTACTTCACATCTGGACATGTCCCCGGTCGGTTACTAGAGTAATGTATCGGTCAAATCGAAGCTTCAACATCCCCCCCGCTCCCAGGCATCCCCCGGGCATTTGACACCTTTTTCCCGGGGAGGAGGGAATTTGATTATCAGAGTCTTCCAGCAGGGGGTGGGAAATTTGATCCCCATGCGTTAGGGGTGGGGAATATTTGAACTGCACTCTCGATCTCATGTGAAATCTCGAAATCTCGAAATCTCTGGCGAGGCTTTCTTTACTTCGCACCGCTCTCCACTATCTGAACGCTTGGAACAGGCTATGGTGTTAGAGCATGTTGGAGATTTTCGTGGAAAAGATTGTGCCTTTATGGCCAATTGGTTACAAGGTTTGTGCCGTATTTGAAGGTATTTAAATTTTAATATTTTTAATATTGGATTCAGGCTATGAATATATTTACCGGCGATTCAATGCAACAATAAAAAGCTCAACAGAGGTCAATTACATACTTTGTCATGATGCAGCAGTAATAAGTAAGTAAGTAATTTTATTTAACCACATATCGCATATGAGCGATAGCTCGTTTAAATGCAAATGTGACATAAAAATTACAACGTGATAATTTACATAATCAACATGTACAAGTGATAAATAAAAATAAGAAATAGAGACATCAAATCAACTAAAAAATAATAATAATTTAAAAAGAGAAAACATTGGTAATTAGATTGTCTATTTACAAAATACACAGTTGCAGTCATACGATGAAGACAACTGTATGTTTTGTAAGTTTTCCCAAAGATAGAGAGGGACTCCGGCATCCTTATTTTGTCTGGTAGATTGTTCCATTGTTTGCCAGCCTGGTACGTGAAGGAATGTTGCATATAAGATGAGGTCGGTCTTGGGAGAACAACCTTAAGATGGCCCCGTAGGCTGTAACCATTGCTTCGCAGTTAACACATTTCCCGAATGTAGTTCAGTGCCTGGTTATAAATGCTATTGTATACGAGTATCAGTGCTTGTTCTATGCGTCAATGTTCCAAGCTTTTGCTATGTACAGTTTTAAGTAGCTCTTCATAAGCAGTCGATTTAGAGTAGTTAAGAAGAGTCCTAGGGGCAAATGCGTTGGTTGACTCTAGTTTTGCAGACAAACCTTTACTTAGACCTATGAACAATGGTGATGCGTATTCAAAGTGAGGCAGAATAAATGCTTTGTACAGTTTAATCATAATATCTGAGGGTATAATTTTACGAATGCGACGAAGAATTGAAACTTTTGTGTTCACCTTGCGGCAAATTTCTTTAATATGTGCTTTAAAAGAGAGTGAATTGTCGATAATTACACCAAGGAGCTTGATCTGTGGAACGTAATCCAGTTCATTGCTGTCAATAACAAAGGGCGTTGGTAGAGTTGCTCTATTGAAGACGATGGATTGAGATTTACTATGGTTAAAAGTAATCTCAATAGGTGGGATTTTTTTTAAAGACCGCTTTGTATGGTGCATGACACAAGAAGAAACTGAGCCTTCAGTGACTTTGTAGCAGCAATTTTCGCCGCTTTGCACGAGACTTTTGTTCGTAGTAAATACGCTAACAGTGTTTCTTAATTTTTGTTATATACTGAATGCGGATTATTTGCTGCATTTATAAAGATTTTGTTCGACAACTGAAGGCATTTCTGCCATCCTTCTGTCATTTATCTGTTTATGTGCCTGTGAAATGTCCCCGGGGTGGGGGCATTAAATTTTGATCACCTGAGTGGAGCCTAGTGGGGGGCATTTGAACAGTATTTTGGCCCGGGTAGGGGGGAATTTGAACAATAATTTCCAAAAAAGTCAAATGCCCAGGGGTTGCCGGGGGGGTATATTGAAGCTG